TGGGAAGGGCACAACATGACTGTGTCCCTAGGAAAGGAGTGGGCTTTGGCTGCTGTTTATCTCATGGTGAACCTGGCATTTTGTGGTCTTTTCCAAGAAAGATGTACCCATAGAACAGATAAGGACTCGTGCTATCGATTGCCGAGACACTTTCATCCAGGCGTTGGTTGTTCTTCAAACAATGCTATTACAGTCAGGGAGATGTTCCACACTTCGGAGAGTGCTCTTCAAACAAAGTGTCTTAGCCAACAGACAAACCGAATTAAGAAGAAAACTTGTGTTTTCATTAGGATACAAAGATCAGCACAAGAATTTTTCTGTCAGACATGTATTCTCAGAAGGAAATGCATGGTACACATAAAAAATTTATTACATTTCTTACATTGTAACTATATCTATATAAAAGCCAAAATAAATACATGCAGTTCCAGCTATACAATATACACTGCCTAACGTGTTTATTGCTACATTTTCTATGACCACTCTCCTTTCTGTTGTGTTTCTCCAGTGACTATGTTATTCCAGGGAAATGAGTAACACAAGGGGAGGAGGGTGCATAATGACTCCTGTGCTGTGAAGGGGGTTGTCAAAACTAACATACATGGATCATGCTCCAGATCTCTTGGGTCTGTGTTGGAGCACCCTTTCAGGGTGTAGTGGGTAAATTGCGAAGGTTTCTTTGCAGGGTAAATCAGGGTATATTGCAGGCCCTTCATGCTTTTCAAGTCATGGCTTTGAGGGTCTAAGAGGAACAGAAGGCAAGAATTTATCTCATAATTCTACTTTTTACTTATGCTATTTAGCAAGTGCTATTAGCTAGATTTCTTACTGTTTCTCCCTCTTCAGTATTGGAGTAGGTGTGGAAACATGAGAGGAGATAAGGGGAGTTATACTCCTGTGCTACTGATATCTCAAAGTTCTGGCTGTGACCAAATGGATGATCAGAGTGTTTTTCAGAGTTGTAGTGTCATGTTTTATGATTATTGATGCAAGATTTGTGAGTGTGATGGAATAGAAGAACAAAGACCAGGGAAACCCAAAATATCAGCAGTCACCAGAATGTTTACTTTGAAAAGACATACGTATTGAAGATGGTCAGTCTGAAATTTTAAGTACAAATTTAACTTGCACAAGGCTATGTAGCATAATCCATAATGGTAAAAGAATCCTAATAAAAACAAAAAAAAAGTGCTCTAGTGAGAAAGGTTGGTTTGGGGGTCAGTATTTTCTGTCATTTTCTTCTCTCTGGGGATTTAGTTAATCCACAAAATGTTTTTATATAGTAGAAGCCTGGAAGCCTCTTGGTTGTTGATATTCCACTTGTGTGCACTCCAAGGGTGTCAGCAATGATGGTTAGCAGTTTCTTCTATTCACAAATTTTAATTATGTCTTAGTTTATGTTTAGCATCCAGTTTTCACAAGGAATCTTTTCCCACCCAGAAAGAACAAATTGTGGACTGACCTATTAATTGTTCTTTCTTATATTTCATTCAGGCTCTTATTCAGTGAGTGGATCTGAGTTATTTTAAACATAATTAGACCATCATAAATCACTTTTGGTTAGCTCACATATGACATCACCAAGACAACCCAATGGGACGATTAGAATATGTTTTTGGGCAATCTGTCTGTAGCTATGTTAACTATGTTATGAAAATAGAGCCAGTAAACAGTAGTCTTCAGAGTGTGGCAACCAAAAATATATAGCACTGTGGGATTGCCTGCCTAGCAGATTGGATTTTCATACTGCTAATTGCCTTTACAAAGCTGATGAACATTAGCTTAAGCAACAGCAATATGTTTTATTTTACTGGGCACATCTCAGAGTGCTTGTAATTTAGTAGGGCCACCATACTCTCTGGGCAGTCTATCAAGTAGGATGTTGTAATGATCTGCATGACTACTATAGTAGATGGAAAAATGTAGCTTGTGTTTGTAGCTGTTCCATTAGCATCTTGCACAGTTTGTGCTCCTTTGGTGCTCTTTGGAGCACTGTGTAATAATCCCAGCATCTTTTGAAGAGTTGTGTCTGGTGAAATCAAGTAACTATACACCGTTTAAAACCTAGTGCATAATTAAATGATGAGACAAAGGAAAGATTGAGAAGGGCAGATAACCAATAGAATCCTGAAGTTATCAAAACAGATTTCTTGCCAAAGAACTCGGAATTCATCTGATTCAATTGCTGGAAAAATGCCCGAATTAAAAATTGTCCTATGAGGACCAAGAAAATAGAGCCAAATTCTGGCACTGTACAGTTTTCTCCCAAAATGGACATTAATGCTACAAAAACAGAATAGGGTGAACAACCTCCTGGCCCAATACTTGGCCCCCTACTGTAGGCTGTATCTGCCAAAACAAGATGGAATAAAAGATCAAAAAATTGAGGCTGGGGGGAAGGAGAGGAGAGGTTGGAAAAGGAGGGTGGTTGGAAAGGAAAAAGCTCATAGACTGTGCCCCCTGCCAGCACTGAAACACTCCACTGCTGCTCCACTTGTAAAGCACCTGTTGGCAGCTGTGGAGTAGTTTATAGGTTTTGGGACAGAGTCAGGATAGAAAAGTTATGGTCTGTGTTCCCTTACGTGACAAGTGATGTGGTCCTTATTTTAGTAAAATATAAGTCATTCCTGGGCAATAATTAATGCAAGTACAGTGATAAATGTACCTGTTCAGAAATAACAGCTACAGTCCTTGCTTTCTAGAAAAAAAACACAATTAAAACAATTTCATTTGCATTATTCTAAATGACTAATGTTAATACTCTATGGCTTGTGTCACCTATTTTGTTCCCTTATTTTCCAGAATGGAAAAACAAATGCAAGCTTAAGTAGAGAAGAAAGAAAATATGATAAAACAGAGTTTGAATATTAAATTGATAGAGTCATTGAAAAACAGTTAAAATAGATAGGATAAGAGGGATATTGGCTAATTTTGTATTTTCTGAAAGCATTATATGTAAAGAGTATAGTGACAGAGAAGTAGGATGATTTTTTAGTCTTTATGACCCAAAAGTAGGACTTGTTGGAAAGTCAGGTTCTTGGAAATAATATTTGAGACAGAAATTCTCTTTCAACCTAAGGTTCAACAGATGGTATGCTATGGAAGTATATAAGCTATTGATCTTCAAATACAGCTCTTTTGTAATATTCTAAAACAAATATATATAGAGAAAAGATGTATAAAGATAAAAGTTAACATGATCTAATTTAGGCCACATACAACATCATGTTGGCAATTAAACATCATGAGTAAGGATATGTTCCTGTTACATGAATTTTAAAAAATATATACAATTATCAGATGTTTAATTGATCTCTATGCAGAAGCATATTTCCGCATGCTGCATTTAAATACCTGTGCATATTTGAGATGATGAAAGCCTAAATTTGTGCCATAAAATTGTGCACCATCTAATGTCATGAGTCATTTAGGTAGTTCATAGGTATGTTCCATCCAGGCAGAGTCTGCTTCCTGCATGTTGATTGATAATCTTCCTCCATCAAGACTGAAGAGTGAGGCCAAAGTGCAAATTACATTGATTCAATAGTTTGTGGGCAGAGTGTTGCAAAATGGGTTCTCGCTTCTTTGTCAGAATAGTTTTCTGTCTTGCTTGGTTGGATGTGTTATCATGAAATAAGTTGATTTAGGTGTTAGAGGCTGCTAACATCAAACTTGGTCATAGTCTGTGCTACTGAGATAAGAAGAGAACATGATCTGGATCTTAAGACGGTGGTATTTGAATAAGAAAAGCACAAGCGTGTGCTTAATTTCAGTGGAACACTATGGTATACATGAAGAAGGACATTTGCAGATACTTGAGTAAGAATGCTTTCCTGAATTAAGATACAAGATACATTTTAAGATTTTTTTTTTGAAATTCAACCATGCATCACTAGAAGACACAATCTGTATTAGAAATTGTTTGTGTTTATTATTAATAAGATAAGAAATGTGTAAAACAGATTTGATCATTATAATCCTTATAATCCTGTCCAGAATCTGTTTTTCCCTCTTATAGCATTACATTAATTACTCTGAATAAAACGAGTATAGCAAGTTCAAAAACATGATGATCTAGTGTTTTGAACATGCACTTAACATATTTTCTCATATTTCAAAACCAGTAAAATTATCGTAATTGTTTTTATCTTCTTTTTATTGCCAAATCTCAAGAATATACTTTTTTTTTTTTCTGTAATTGTGATCTTTACCTTGTAGCCCTAAGTATCTTTACCTTGTAGCAAACTTCTGGATTTTGGATGAGATGGCAGGTGAATGGAAGAAAGTGACAGGACCAATTTTCAAGTCAGGGAGGGATGTCAGGGATTTTCTAGACCTCTTATTTCTCCCTTCTAGCTCACACTCTCCCTTCTTGGACTTGGGAAGTCCCCAGCACAAGTGAACTTAGCAGGTGCAAGAGGAGTGGGAAGAGGAGAAGCTGGTGCTTCTCATGAGAGTGTTCACACAAGGAAGTGCTAGAACAGGGTGAAGGACCAGTAAGGGTGAGACTTGAATAACCAGCTCAAGAGTTAGCTATAGTTTTAACAGGAAGTTGTTCTGAACCTTCAGTACTGTATCACATCATGGTATCGCTAGAGATTAGTCTTATATGGCAAAGAAGTCAGTGCTAACCTGAACACCCTTCACTTTCATCAGGACTTAATATATCTATTTGTGATGCCAGTCAAATGTTCCTGGTGTTCCTAAGTCAGAAAACTGAGCAAATGACTAATATGATCACACAGCTTATATCCTCGCATACCCAACCACCGCAGTCGACAACCACAATTGCTTAGTTTGTAGTCTAAAATCCCTGTGACTGCAAGAATACAATGCAGAAGAATATATTTATTATATGAGCTATGTAAGTAGTGTATCATCAATACAAGTTTTGGTTTTTTACTTGCTTTTCAAACTTGAATATCTAATGAATCATTGAAAATTAAACTGCTGCTTGTACAAAAATTTATTAAGTCTTTTTAAATTCTTTTTTAGGTCTTGTAGAAATTTGCCTGATGCATCCCCTTGATGTAGTGAAAACAAGGTAAGATTCTGCTTCAACAGGTTTTGTTGACACTGGATGATGTCCAAATTAGGAGCTGTCAAAAAAACAATATGTTAGAACTTCTCCAAGTAAGATAACTTCTGCCTTTAATGGCATTTATATTTACTTACCTTTTTCTAACAGCATTTGACAGATGGAATTTCAATAGCATGACACATGTTTGATTAGAGGTCATCCAAAGGTGGTGAATGTGTTTTATGAAATATATATTTTTGCATTGTAAGGCAATTCTATTATATAAAGATGGCTATAGTTAAATTTGATTACTATATTTATCATCTGCGTTTATATGTAACAGGAAAATACTTTCAAAATCATTTTCACAGATTTTTTAGACCTGATGAGAGGAATTTTTGTCCCTATTTCTATTCTGCATGTTTGTTTTTATGTGAGTATAGATGAAGTGATTTGGAAAATTTGATCCTGTGATTTTTGTCTTGATATGTTATTCACTGAGCAGGGAAAATAGCTGTGTTGTATCTTGAATACTCTGGCATTTTTCTGAGCTTTTTAGGTTTTATATCTTTATTCAAAAGTGAGTGATTTCTTCATTTCTATTCCATATTTTCCTGTTGGTTTGTTTCTTTGTTCTTCGTATTTTTAATACTTCAAATACTAATCATACCTGAGATCTGGGAAGGGAAAGCATTAAATGGTATATTTACAAAGTCGTATCAGTATAAAAATAGTAATAAAAATTAGGAACCCTTTAAATATGAAACCTGAGTCCATAAACATTGGAATTAAAGAAGAAAGCAGAAAGACATAAAAGAACAGTATGTGTGGGGGGGGAAATCTGGTTGAAATTAATGGTTAAACCAAGGGGATGAATCAACTAAAAATCCACTAGGCAAATTTCTTCAACTCTTCTATTGACTGGACTGTAACTCTGTGGATTCAGGAGATACTTGCACGTTATTTTTCCTAGCATGATCAATGGGATGAAGTAGAGATGAAAAGCATCAAGGTGTTAGTGTTCCTGTGCCCTGCTGTTGCAAGTATAGTCAGAGATACAGCACAGATTTTGCAATAATTCTCTTGATGATGCTAGCATGTGTTAGTACTTGCAAATAATTATATTTTGTAAACCAATGGCAAACCAAGAATGGAACATACTTTTGCCTGATCTAGCATTCTGTGCCATATTCCTAACACCAAGTCAGCACCAGTCATCGTCCAAAACTGTGAAAACTACTAGAGCAGATAATTCTTTATGAGGTGGTTTTGGAGAAGTTCAAATGAAACACAGTCTTAATTATAAACTTTGCATTAAGAAAGTTTTCTAACACATTTTCTTTGTTGTTGCATTTTCTTATAAGCGTTTCTTCTCACTGCACTCGCTCTTCTTCAACATAGTATTGATAATTCATCATTTCTTAATTACTTTCAGCTATTTGGCTTGTTGCATATGCCAAAGTGAAAGGATTCATAAAAGCACCATTTATTCCTTAATTTTTATGTCACTTTGAATTTTCTGTATTTCTTTCTACAAATCATGTGTTTAGTTCTGTGGCCTTTTCAATTAGTGAAACTTTATTTGATCTAAGTTAGCAGTCTGAGGAGCTTAGGGAAGATGCCAGAGGCTCACATCTAGTGGATGTGTAGCTCAGAATCACTGCTTGGTTGTTATGGTTTTTGCGTATGTTTTTAATAAAAAAAAAATGGAGAAAAGAAAGTTCCTCTCTGAGATTTTGAAACCCTGGAAAATTATTTGGCTCTTTTGTGACAACATTTTGCAATATATTTGCTGTGTTTAGTAATTTTCTATTTTTCTGCAGTAAAAATACTAAGCTCGTTTATTCATAGTATGTTTGGGGCATGGGGAGGGGACAGTACATATAGAAAAGGGGTTTTATAAGCTGTAGACAAGCTCTGCAGAGAGGGGTCTGGTTGACAACAAGTTAACCATGACTCAGCAATGTGCCCTCATGGTCAAGAAAGCCAATGGGATCTTGGCCTGCACCACGAGGAGTGTTGCGAGCAGGTTGAGGGAGGGGGTCCTGCCCGTCTGCTCAGCTCTGGTGAGGCCGCATCTGGAGTATTGTGTGCAGTTCTGGGCTCCACAGTACAAGAGGGGCATGGAGCTTCTGGAGAGGGTCCAGCGTAGATGATTAAGGGACTGGAGCATCCATCTTATGAGGAAAGACTAAGCGAGCTGGGCCTGCTTAGCCTAGAGAAGAGAAAGCTGAGAGTAGATCTGATCAATATGTAGAAGTACCTGAGGGGCGAATGTAGGGAGGATGAGGCCAAACTCTTCTTGGTGTTGGCCAGTGATAGGACAAGGGATAATGGGTACAAGTTGAAACCCAGGAAGTTCCATCTCCATGTGAGGAAGAACTTCTTTCCTTTGAGGGTGTCAGAGCGCTGGAACAGGCTGCTCAGAGAGGTCGTGGAGTCTCCCTCTCCAGAAATCTTCAGAACCCACCTGGATTGGCATCCCTATGCCACGGGCTCTAAGTGTCCCTGCTTGAGCAGGGTGGTTGGACTAGATGATCTCTAGAGATCCCTTCCAACCTCAACCATTCTGAGAGTCTGTGATTCTGTATGCTCCAGTTCTTTATTGATTGTTAGTTCATTTTTAAATTTAATTTAAATTAAATTAAATTAAATTAAATTTTTTTCTTTACTTTCTGACAATATATTTGAAGAGTGGCTAAATATTATCATAAACCAACTACAATATAAAGGGACTTACAGAAAGTCTAGTTTATTATTGTGTCAAGATAATCATCAGGAGATTATATAAGAAATTAAGTATAAGAAATTAAGTATATATTCATCAGAATGTTTTCATGCTTCTCTGGTTAAATCAAACTCTAGATGCATTTGAGTATTTTTATTCTTTATTTTAACAATCGAATTGATTTTCAGATATAATTGTGCCCTTGTAACACAGCCTCATATTGGGAGGGCTGTGTGCAATCTGGAAAGCAATGACCAAGAGAAAAGCCAGGAGCCATTCTTTCAAAATTTTTTCTTTCAATTTCTCAGGAGAATAAAGTAAATTCTATACCCTTTTAAAAAGGGATTCAACTTATTTTTCTGTTCAGTCTATTTGATCTCCCTATTTCCACTTTTGCAGGATCTGCGGAGGATGCGATCCATGTTGCTTCCACTTTAAGGAAGTGGAATCTTTATGTGATTAAAAACTGTCTTTCTATCTTTTGTTCAATGCAGAATAACAGCATTAAGAAAATGAAGCCAAGAATTCTGAGCAAGTTTTGAGATTTTTTTCATCTAGTCATTGTGTAGATTTTACATTTTGTCACTCTGCAGTAATCCAGACCAACATCATGGATCTAAAGCCATGAATTTAGAAAATAATTTAATATCTAAATGCAGGTTTGGACTCTGTACTGCACACTCATTTCTACAACCATTCTGCTAATTTTTGTGTGTGTTTGCCCATTTTCTTCCTTTGTTCCAGTTTTTGTCATCTTCATCATAGTAGAAAAGTTCAGCCTACTACATGTGTTTCCGATCTCATTCCATCTGTTGTTTTGAAATAACTACTTCCTTTATATCATTAATTCCTTTGATTTCTGATCTTTTTTGTTTAAGTGAGCAGTAGTGGAATCTCTTTCTGCGGAAACAAAAAAAAACCTCTTAGTTTAAAGAAGGATTCATTGTCCTTACACATGTTGCCATTTCCAAAAGATCATACCGTGCTTAGTTCACATCAGGCTGTGTTAAGTTGCTGTTACTCTATACAAACTGCTCTAGTTAGATTTGTAATAGCTTAAGCAGAAAATAGTCTTTCTTTCCTGGGAAAATTATCAGGATACCAAATAATACTGAATTGGAATGAAAAGCTGAACTCTCAGAAGACTGTTAAAAAAACAATGGGTTTAGGCCAATGAAACAATTTAACTCATTTTGATTTTTGGAAGTTTTCACTTCAATTTCAATCTTTTTGAAATGAAAAATTATTTTGAATCAGGAAAACAAACATGTTGGATTAAAAATGTAGAATGCAATATCCTTTATTATCTAGAAAATATAAAAAAAAGTAGTGAAACTTATCCTTTCCTGAGAATTTTTATTATTATTATTTGAGAAGCAAAAAAGACTGGTAAAAATAATCCCTGACCAACTCAAGTTAATGTTCTTGTTTCAACCAAATGTCAAGGCTTTTCTCTGGGATTAGTCTTACTTGATTTATCAGTGGCCTTCGGCACAATCGCTCCTAGGGTCTGTGTGCATTCTAGCTGATACTCTGTTTTTGGCATTTAAAGTTCAGCATTTAAATAGTTTGAATATTTCTTTACAGATCCTTCATTCCAAGTTGTATATAATAAGAACTTATCTTAAGTTTACAGTAATTTAGATGTGGATATGATCCAGGGCTCTGTAATTTGCCCTTTGTTTTCCTTCTTCATACAATCTGTTAGGAATTAATAAGGGCACGTGGGCTAATAATTCCAGCTAGATATACTATTCCAATTTAAATCCTTCCTTGAATTAAAGAACAGTATTGATGTGCACTGTTAAACAGATGCTGTGATTTGCAGTACTGGTCAAAGTGATTTCTGTTCCTCTATTCTTTTTTTTTTTTTTTTTTGGATATTTATAGGCACACCATATGTACATATTTGAAGACTGTTGAGATCCTTTGGGATAAAAAGACCCATAGAAATGCATTTTCATCATCTCTTACTGTGATACTATGTGTGATACTGCTAAGTAGTGCTTAATAGTACCTATTTCAAACAGGTATGATTTTAGAATTTATGATTTTGGAATAATCATATCCTACTCTTGCAGCATCTGAATTTGTGCATCATTAAAACAGACTGTTGGATCTCTTTTCTCAAGTTTTCCCCTGATATTTTTTTAATGATGATTCTGTATGTGGAAAGTGGTCAAATGGATTGTTTTGATTGAGCATTCTGTGTATATACTGTATATTTTTATGAATAAGAGGTGCTTTTTTAAACACTTGAAATCTCATTAAATATTCAATTCCATTTGACAGAACT